CCACATGGGACATGTAGTAGCCTTTCCAAATTTAGCAAATTGTTGATAATTTGTAGAAAATTATGTACGTAATCCTCTCGGATTGGCAAAAATTTACTTTTTTTCTTCAGGAATCAGATGCCATACTTCTTTCAAGAGAGTTTCTTACTTACGAACTTATTTACGGACAATTTAAATAAATATCGGATGATCGAGATACAAAAATGGATCGGAGCTAAATGTCATCTGGTAGGTAATAACTTTGTAATGGCACTATTGAATTTAAAATTTAGCTTTTCGCCACAAGAGATTCAGATTGAATGGCAAACTTTGCGAGCTTTTCCTGTAATAAAGTTTGAACAAATAAGAATTGAAACTCTATTTTAACTTAGGTTTCAAGGAATCTGTCTCAATGGATTGAAAGTTCTTGATGTAAAGTTTATTTAGTGTAGCCCGTTGTGTTTTCTATACTCTATTTCTGTTTTATTAAAAATTATTAACACTATACTTAATTATTTAAAAGTAGCCAATACTGGGTTTTTTTATGATTATATATTAGTATAAAATTATATTATCGAAAATTTGTTTTTTAACTTTGTTACCAGGAAAAGTTAGGTATATAAAAAAATCGGTTTATGATACAATTAAATATATTATAGTACGTAATAATAATAAATAATGTAAAAATATACTTACATTTCTTTATTTCATTATTACTGGCAGGTAAACCATACTACTTATCTGGCGGGTATTTCAAGATGCTCTACTAAAAGGCGATTTTAGTCACAGGGAAATATCACTAAACGTCACTAATGCTCTGCTAGATGGCGCTAGTGGTTTTGTACTCAAGGATTGTGAAAATGTTGATCAAATGTTGATAAGTACTGTAAAAGCTATGAACGAAGTGTGCTGTTCTGTTGAACCATTTACAACTTCAAAAACAAACTTCTGGAGAATAAGCGATGAGGTTAGTGGTTTTGGTTCTGCGTAACGTTGGTTCCATCGTTGAATTCTGACGAGATGGCATGCGAGAAGTTGTTGTAACTAAGATTAACTTAACATAGATTAACATAGATAACGATTTGACTGAAATTGGTTTAGGTATGACACCTAACCCGATTTCAGTCAACTAAAGAAAAACGCATAAATGCATGACAGTTTTTATGCGTTTTTCTTTATTTATACTGGACATATTTATATTAAAAAATATATAATTTCCAAAATTAGTATACGATTGGAGATATTTGTCCTGAAAAAAATATATTATTTATTTTTAATACTTATTTGCGGCCTCTAGCGGATTGTGGTCTTACTTCCGATAGTCGCGGGTCCAATTGCTCGCAAGGTGCAAACATATGACGTAAGTAAAAATTACGAGTGTGAGAGCTTTTATCGATCTTGATATTTTCTTTATCTATTGTGTAAAAAAACATATATAAGTGTTTATATCAGTTGTCTAGCACCCATAAAACATCTGCTTTGTTTGGGACTGGATGAGGCTATGGTAGCTGTCCTGTATAATTATTATTTTATTTTTTTAGTTAATGCCGCTCAAGCATGCGTACTCTCCTGCACAATGGTAGCAAATCAAACAAACGCCTCTGTCATAGTTATACCGACAGTTACCGGCCCCACCGTCAAGGCTCTGCTATGGATGAAACCATCTTGCCTCATCATTACAGTGAGCAGTAAGACTAGGGTGACAGAGTACTTCAAACATACCGGTGTATCGTACCACTTAAGTATACGGGTACGTATACTTTTAAGACTACTGCAGATAGAAAAGACAAGTTACTCCCAAGTATTTAAGTAATTTAATTTTGGGTAGCAGATTAACTGTCTTCCGATAGTGGTAGTTCGCTCATCGCACAATACAATCATTTCTATTGACATGACATTTATCTTTTATATATTTTTTTTGTACATTATGTGTATTTACAAAACAATATTTAATTGGAATTTAAATAAATATACCAGTATAGAAAATAATAACTTTACAATATCCATAAATACATACAAGATACATGTATTTTGTATAATTTATTAAATAAAAATATTACATAGTATATATACCCATTGACTGATGACACAAATAATATACATGTAAACATTAATAATACAAAAACATAAAAGTAGTTTCGTTTTGCTTCCTCTTCTTATCACCAGGAGTCCTATTTTCCTGGAGTTCTTGCATTGGGGTGGATAGAAATAACACAAGGGTCTTTATTTGTACTTATGCTCAAGACAACTAAACGAATGTTTATTAATGAAATCACGACATTGTGCTATAGTATTTCTTAATATAATTTCCTTTTATAAATTTTAGTCAGTTGCAAATTTTAAAATATATATAATACTAGCTGTCCCGGCAAACGTTGTTTTGCCTTAAAATAAAAAAAAATAATTTAGGGACGGACTACCCCTAACATTTAGGGGGATGAAAAATAGATGTTGGCCGATTCTCAGACCTACTCAATACGCTCACAAAATTTCATGAGAATCGGTCAAGCCGTTTCGGAGGAGTATGGGAACGAAAACTGTGACACGAGAATTTTATATATAAGATTTATTTATATAGCATATATAAAATCCCTAGTCTTAATAACTAACACCATACAGGGCTGTCTCCCAAACCGTTTACACAGTACATATTATAGAAGGCAAGTTTTACGGGGATTTGTAATATTCTGAAAGCTTATCTCATTTACTTCAGTTCATTATTTTTTAATAAAGATTTCTTACACATATAAGCAGGTTTTCTACCTGCTTATTTCAATATAATCTTCTTTTTTTTTACTTAAAATTCTGAATTAAAATATTTTGTAAATTTAATAATGGAGATAAACTATATCTTAACATATTCTTCATTCTTTAGATTATTTAACTAGGAGACATTTTTGTGCCGACTTTACTTAATTATTTATTCACAACCACAAAATGGCATAATCTCATGGAGGCCAGGGTACAATTTCCCATGGAATATGCGGTGAAACGAGGGTGGCTTCAATATGGGGATACTTATGTATGTTACACTACAGAGAGGAGCTGAAAATAGTTCCTTTTGTGACATGGTTAGAGTGTGGAAAGTGACCACATCTAAGAAAGTGTCTGTTGAGTTAGTATGTTTTAATAATTAACCTTTTTTCTATGCACACATAAGGACAACCTTCAGATATGACCTCCTAATTCGATAATTCGATAATGAGTGGTACTTAATAATACTTAAACTTAATAAATTATTTCCAACTTTATTCCATAAGAGAAATGTGATAAGTACTATGGATGACACATTAGCCTCAACTTGTATGTAAAATACCATGTCATGGTTAAGTAAAAAGGCATAAAAATAGTATTTGTTGTTGTTATTTGAATAAAGAATTTTCTATTCTATTCATATCCAATATTTAAACCACAGATATACATTACCTATTTTGTACAAGTACATAATAATCATGCGATCGTAGTAGCGAAAGGACGTGACGTATGTTTCATATAAATTTCTACACATCTAAAATCACGAATCCGGATTTTTATTCTACGTTTGATATATGCCATAGGGACAGGATCCGTGATTTCAACACAAAGGATTTTACTCACTCGACCGACGAGGATTTTATTGATTGTACCACCCAAGAGAATTCAACAAGCACAAATGGAGGTACAATAAAATGTGTGATTGTGATTTTAAACAATATTTTTAACAATTGAAAAGAATCTGTCTATCTGTTTGTACTTGTTATCTTAGTCAATTTACAGTAGTCCAATCTATGAAACTGCAGTTTATTTTATTTAAAATATATATATTATGTACAGCTTGTAACTGTATTCTAAATTGGTTAAAAGAATTGATTAAAATCACAAAATGAAATTAACGAAAGCCTTTTATAGAGTCACAAAATATTTCATAGAAGAACTGACTTCTATTGTTAACAACAATACCTATTCTGTTTCTATTAATACAATATCTACAAAGAACTTACTTTAAACTTTCCCTCTTAAACTTTGAATAAATAAAGTAGTATGTACCTAATTGACATCGATACTGTTAATCGAGAGATCGCAATTAAAATATTGTTGCCTAAAAATATCAATCCTCTTAATTTGGCGAGGTCAAACCGACAGCGAGGCTACTATTAGCGCTTCCACTCAAATAAAACTTGTCACAATCCAGCGGCGTTACCGGGATTGTCCCGGATTACCCTCTGTTTAGCCAAAGTCAGGTGAATTACAAACGAAGCCGAAGAATACCGATCACGGTAAGCGGAATGATAAACAAAGGGCGCAGCTGTCGCTAACAACAGCGGCAAAAATAAATAAAGCCAGCAAAAATAAACAAAGCCAAGATATTTGTGGGGTAGCCATTAGGGGCTCAAAATAAAAAACGAGGTTTGTGGATCAAGTCAATGAAAAATATACAAATGCTGATTGACCATTAAAAACTACATTTGTATGGTAGTAAAGAGTCAAGAAAGAACACATGTGGGAGTGGTTAACTACTAAAGATTTTCTTGGGTCCAAAGATTGGCACTACATTAAACTTCATAGTTTTGGGATGGACAGCAGTGTTGACATCACCAATGCAGTCGAATACGGGATCATGAGAAGCTAATCATAGCTTCTCATGGTATGAAACTACTACCTGCTCAATGTCCAAATCCTTCTCCTATGAAACGTTCTTACTTGATAGCGAGTCTCCAATAGATTCCTGTGTTGCTAATAATAATAACACCCCGACAAAATTAGAGATGTTATAAGATTGACGTGTCTGTGTATGTATATGTCTGTTTATCTGCCTGTGGCATTGTAGCTCTTAAATGAATTATGATGTACTTTTTATCGGAAAGCTAACGGGATCGAGATGATTCTTAGCTATTTTAAATTTTATTAGATTGTTTTCACATTTACAATGAAAAGTGGTTATTCTATTTTAATTGAATCCTACTAACTAAAACTCTTTTGATAGTAAATTTGCTAGACACAGTCAGTCATTAATCTTTTGAAGTTTTCATAATTGACGATAATTTTGGCAATATAATTTTTTACTTCATTTTGTTATTTCTTACGAATACACATTTAATTATTCAGTATGGTGTGGCCTACAGATTTCGATGCAAAACTGAGTGAAGTAAATACTATCTATTCTAAATGACAATATTCAATTATGCTTTCAAAAGTCTTGTAGTTCGTAAGAATTAAAAGTAGTTGTATACTATGTCTCACAGATTGAGTTTTCATTTCTGATAAGCCATCGAACTTTGATTTATACATAGGATCAACTTCTTGCCTGTATGATTCCAGTATTATATACTAGTAATAACCTTTGATATAAAGCCTTATTTTATTGTATATTTCGAAATTTTCAAGTACGACGCAATGGAGTTACCAGGACAACAACTTCCTGCAGCAAATGCTTATACCCCTTTGGATCATATATTGAATTTGGACATTCAATCTCCACCTGGTTGTCAAAGACTTACTGGTATTTTCGCCACAATGGGTAAATATATTTTCTTCGTAATTTATATTGTCTTAATATCATCTAAATTAAAATATAATGCAAAATTTTAAATTATTTTGGAGAATGTACAGCAATTTTGTGGGTTACTTTGGTACTGTCAAGAATACAATGCAACACCATTCCATTTCAGCTCCAATATATCGTAAGAGACTAGGCAAATAATCCACAAACACTAATAAAAGAGAAGTAAATCTTAAAATACAACCCTACAGCCACTTGATCTATAATTTAGCAGATACTTCACATTTCAAACAGATATCTTGCATCTCCTATAAGTTCATTAATATTACAAACATATAAATATAATAGTGTGTTATAAAATCAACCAGCCAATAATGTCTACTCGTATGTATATAAGTACGACATTACATTGCGGTTTGTCAACAGAAATTCAGCACTTAACATGTTTGTGCATACGTATCTGTTGCCAAGAGTCTAATTTTGATGCCAAATGCGAATATAAAATTTATATTACCGACCAAATTGTTAACGTCGTTTCATAAAATTCAATTAGATGTTTTACTAGCGTGTATTATTATTTTCGTATATTCGTATTTATTTTGTCATACCTATGCAAAATACAATCATCGATTTATTGTAAAACAGAGGTCAATTTTATATACGTACTAGCTGTGCCCATGGTTTCACCCCCGTGACATTTATAGCTTATGTTATCCTGATGTATAAATTACACTACTGTAAAGTTTCATCAAAATCCTTTCAGTAGTTTTTGCGTGAAAGAGTAAAAAACATCCATCCGTCCATCTATCAATACATACTCGCAAACTTACGCATTTATAATATTAAGAAATAAGAAATTAAAAATATAGAACATGACAAAGTCATAAAATAATTAATCAGTATATGAGATAGTGAATAATTTCATAAAATAGTCATCATCGATCATGAACAAATAGTAGAATATTTTATGCAATGAACGATACAAAAACACCTATAAGATTTTATGATGATTCTAGGCAAAGCAACTAATGATATAGAAACAATGGAAAAAATGTTTGCCGCCGGCATGAATGTCGCTGTGTTGAATTTAACTTACGGTTCCAGAGAGGAACATATTGAGACTATAAAGATGCTGAGACAGGCGGCGAAAAATTACAGTGTTCATATGGGGAGGAACTATCCCCTGGCCATAGCCGCCAGATTAGCAGGAAGGAAAATAAGAACCGGCCGTATAGCAGAAGTAAGTATATTAATACATATTAAAGTATCACATAAACGTATATATCTGTAACTTTTTGTTGTACTAATTATGTGTTTATTATTTTTAGTTATTATCTTTTATTATTCAATTAAGTACCGTATTACCGTTTATTAAGTATTATTTTCCAATCAGTTGGTATGAAGTTGATTGGTATATCTCAGCTATTTGTTGCTTAATTATAGATATTTTTCTAGAATAAGTTCGCCTTTTGTACCATATTTTATTTTCAATAAAGGCATTGACATAAATAGATACATGTACATTATTATATAAAAATATATATATGTACATAAATATATTAACCAAAGGTTAGGTTATTTATTACAAGACTCAATATTTCAAAACTACATTATCCGCGCGAATTCATTTATATTTCCGTTATAATTTTTATGGAATACTTTCTTACTTCTATCTTAGATAATATAAAGTACACATTTAGTTTATTTCTTAATATTAATGATACTGTATATTTAGTCACATAGAGTGGTAACTTCCTATATACATAGTATTATTGTATTAAGTTGTTTAATTTAAATCTCTACAAATTTTAATTAACACAAGTTGAAATATAAATTGTTAACTCTAATTATTGCTGAAAATGTATAATTAACAATAGATTATTATTATTCAAATAACACTGCTTTTTTCTTCATTTTCTTAAAATAAAATACTGTACCTTTTTAAGAAAGCGAAATAATATTTCAATATTTTCTATTACAATGAGATTTATGTATAATTTTCTTTGTAGAGTTACGGTGACACGGTAGAATTGAAGACTGAGGAAGTAGTTAGAATAACTACAGATGAAACATATCGAGAGAAATGTTCTACATATACAGTGTATGTGGACTTTATACGTTTTCCTGACCAAATCTCCAAAGGAGACTACATTTTACTCGACAATGAGATGATTATGTTAAAAGTTGAAATTATTTCAACCTCAACTCTAACATGTAAAATTGAAAGAGGCGGCCTTTTGGGGTCATACAAAGACGTGTTTGTACCTAATGTAGTATTTGAGATGCCTAATTATTCTGATAGAGACAAATTAGATATTGAAATGGCTATACAGAATCAGGTATTACTTTATTTATTTGTTTTTAAGTTACCTAATACATTAGATATTTATTATTGTATAATGAAAGACAAATTACAACATCCAATCCTGTCTATTTAATCCGTATTATAGCTAATCTGTTCTTACGATCTATAAAAATGTCTAGTTATGTTACTGTGTTGAGAGTTAGAATAACATATAAGAATAAAAGAATATGTTTGGTAATTAACAGAAACAAACTAACTGAAAGCTCCTAAATTAATATATTGAAAAAATAGCAGTAACAATATAATAAAATCTAATATTAATCTAACTTATAGAATTGTTTAAAAAAATATCAATGTAATAAAATGTTTGTTTATATCACTTCAGGTTGATATATTGATTGCATCGTTTGTACATTCGTCTTCAGTAGTAACAGAACTCAGATCATTGTTAGGAGAGAAGGGCAAGAAAATATCAATAATTGCTAATATTCAAAATATTGAAGGTTTTCGGAACTTTGATGAAATACTTAATGTAAGTCAAATCCAATAAATATGCGAAATATTATACTAATATTGTTGGAAATATCTACCTAGTTATTTCGTTGTTTTTTTTATAGGTGACTAATGGCATAATGATAACTAGGCAAGAACTTGGTTCCGATATTACACCAAAAAAATTAGTAATCGCTCAGAAAAATATGATAGCACGAGCCAATATGGTAAGTTATTTAAACATAATATTACCCACCAACCCGGTTTAACACGGGCGCAATTACTATAGGAATGTCATATTTTTTATTCTACCACTCATTCAGAACGCAGATTCATCACAATAAGAATGAGCTTGAAACTTGTGTGTTGCTCTTTTGAATAGATGTTATTTAAAACAAATAATTACACAATAACAAGTAAGAGGTATGCGATAATCAACATAGAAACCGCTATGCACTTATTCTTAATGTAAATTATTATTTTATCCTAGTTGTACCCGCGGTTTCAAACATGTTTTAACAAACATCCATCCATACTCACAAACTTTCGCATTTATAATATTTATAAGAAAAACTTTTTCACCAGCGCAATGTACCTATAAGTATAAGTGCACATCTGTTGAGTAGTATGAGATATAAGAAAATTCCGCTTCGAGCTGAACTACTGGATATAGCCAATTGTATCCTAGATGGCGCTGATGCCCTAGTACTCTCCGCGGAGACAGCAGTCGGACAGTATCCAGCAGAGACTGTTGCATGCTTAGCCAGCTCTTGTAAAGAGGCAGAAGCATGCCTTTGGACGAAACAAATTTATCGTGATCTTATTGATAAGGTTATACAAAAAATTCATTATTTTTATAGTTATAACATTATCTAACTAATATAAAATAAAAACATAATAACGTTATATACTAAAGTAGTGTATTTATCTGTTGGTGTGTTTCATTAAAGTAAAAACACCTAAAGGAATAGGGGTGTAATTATTATATATGTTATTAAGTACAGACGCTATAGAGTAAAGAAAGCTGAAAGAATATAAAATTTATAAGCTGTGGAACAATTTTATTGTTTAACTAGTTAACCCACGCAACTTCGTCTGCATCACACTTACTTGACATTTATCATTACATTTCGTCCAATAAACATAACATATTTTTAAAACATTACGTTATTCTGATGTATAAGCTATATTATTGTAAAGTCTAATATAACTTTCGGGTTTTGTAATATTAGTAAGATTTAAGATAATTTTAAATATAATATATATATTTAAAATTTGACGCAATATATATTGTTTTAGATTTTCAAGTACAATGAGGAAAAATCACAGAATCTTACCACATTATATCGGGAACTCAATAAAAATAAATAAAACGTTTTCCAATTCTACGTTTAAATATATACTTACCAATTTCAATTTTGACAGACCGCATTGCCTTGTGACCAAGCGACAGGTTCTGCAATAGCTGCAGTTTTAGCGGCACAAAGAACTATAGCTGCCGCCATTATAGTGGTCACTACTACTGGCAGGTCAGCGCAACTAGTTGCCAAGTATAGACCCAGATGTCCAATTATAGCTGTAACTAGATACGCGCCTATTGCACGTCAATTACACATGTGGAGAGGAATCATGCCACTTATTTACGAAGGTTAGTCAAAATTATATGTAACAATATATTGATCACATATATTTTTTTTAAAGAATGCAAAATTTATCATGCACATTACGGTTATTCAAAAATGCATTAAAAAATATTATAAATTCATCTGACAATAAATCATTTATAAAACGCATTTATGTAAGTAAATTTGCTTACATAAATGCGTAAAAAATTTTATTTATCGTATCTGGATATTATAGACAATTAGCTGTGTGTGATATTGCCCGCATAAATTCGATATCCTATGTGTTAATCTGGGAATTAAATTTCATTCGAACTCGACCAGTATTTTTCGCATGAAATGGTAATAAAAAACATAAAAATAAAATTAATATATTCATTATATAAAGATTCGGTAGACTGTATGGGTCTCTGAATGATGAAAATACTTAGATTTCGATAATATTTGTATTCCGATTATATTTCAATGTGTAGCTGCAAACCACGGTAGTATAATCTTATAAATATTATAAACACGAAAATTTGTGAGTATGGATGGATGTTTGTTACTCTTTCACGCAAATACTGACCGGATTTTAATAAAACTTTACAGTAATATAGCTTGTACATCAGAATAACATATAGGCTATAAATTTGACACGGATGAAACCGCGTGTGTGTATAGTAATGAAATATATAAAAAAATATGACGTATGTATAAAAAGAAGTGTTCTAAAATTAATAATTTAAATTAAAAATAATATCAAAGGAGTTCACGACGTCCAGTTGCCAACACGTAACATTTTTATCTTCCAGAATGATAGCGCATAAACGTATGACTATGAGTATCACAGGTTATCATAATATGCGTGGTGCTATTCATGTATATACGCGACACTTACCACTTACCACCAAATGGACCGACATATAATTTATCATTTCTGTTATTAAAAAAAGTAAATATAAGTCTTTGTTCTAGATTCACCTGACACAGATTGGTCACTAGATCTTGAGCGGCGCACCAACTTTTGCACCGAATGGGCCATAGAGCAAGGCTTTATCAGGGTCGGAGATCCCATCGTAATAGTATCTGGATGGAAGCAAGGATCAGGTTATACCAACACAATGCGAATTATATACGTAGCGGCAGACACCACTGTAGAATGACTTTAGCTGTTAATTGATTTGAGAATTATATATTCCATTCATAATTGCTTGTTATTGATTACGATAATATGTTATCTGTATATAACATGTTTCTTCTTCTGATTCCATTATAATTATTTTTACCTACGCCCAAAGTTAACTCGGATTAATTATGATATTTTCATGTTGATAATTTGGAAATTCTAAATAACTCCAAGCTAAGAACTCCGGAAGAGATATAAAAAAAAAGTTTTATATCATGATCAAACCTGAAATGACATTTGTAAATTAATCTATATTACCATATAGTCACATAGTCAAATGGAGCGCTATTGACATTAATTGCCTGAATTGGTAATAAGATAGTAAATATAGAACCCAAATTGGTATTATATGTATATGTAGTATAATAATAATAACAATATTTTATTTGGCAAATATTGTTGACGTTAACATGCATTATAAATAGATACATTAAATTATATTGCCAACTTGTATACATGTACACACGCGGATATAGATATAGGTATACAGACAGCAATAACTATATAGCTATATCACACGCAAGTAACGTTCTTTACCAAAAATGATAACTTTCATACCTGTAAAAAAAATATTAATAAATAAAAGAACCTCAATCAGATTTTATTACTACGGCAACTAAAAAGACTCACATACGTTATAATAATAAAAAATAAGAAAGAACAATAATCTTTCTTGTCCGTTTATTCTTCTCTCAATTTAAACATGGGCATATTTCATACAAATAATAGTCAAATATGTCACCGATTGGTCTGTAAACTCAGAAATTTTCTATTGTTGTCTAGATTCATGCAAAATCACTTTTACGACAATTTAAAGGTTGATTCAAAATAGAGTCACGGAACATTCAGGTGTAGGCAATAGCTTCAATCGATGCATTCAATGATCGGCATCAAAGGGTTAACTCTGATAGTCGGTGAGGCAATTTGCATAACTCTGAGAATCCTAAATTGAATGACTATAATCGCTTAAGCCTAAAAGTCGTCTAGTTCTTCATACTAAGCCTTAAAATATATATGATTTCCAATATTATAATTTAGAATACGTACGTAACTTCATATTATTTCTTTTGTATATAAAATATAACGACATTCATATATTGAAGTGGTTGAAATATGCAAATAATTAATACCCACCCAATAAAAGTAAATTCATAAAACCAAGCTTATTACATATTTGAACTATTTTAGAAATATTCATTTGCTACTATTTTCATAAGAATGTCTTAGAAAATAACTAGGAAACATTACAAAATTATATGTTATTAGCCTCTAAACATTGTATGTACCTTAATACTTAGTTCATATTTATGATAATAATTATCCAAGTATCCTGATATTAAAAATTTTAATTGCTAAAATATACCTTACAATGTTACAAAGATTTTGTCAGCATAATTTCTTTTTTCAATGACATCTTATCACAATAGAATACAATGAACTTCTCATCAGTAAAGTTTTTATTATAAAACATACAATGTAGTTTGTTAAAAAGGTTGGAACAAAGTTGCTTTTAACTGGTAACAAACTTTAAACGTTATCGAAATTAAGAGGTTCAAAATAAAAATTATGAATAAGTCTAGTATAACAATACGTGCATAACAACGCGGAGTATTTATTTATTTAAGCAGTATTCATTTAACTTCAAAATAGTTTACTACAGATACGAATCACTGTTTTTTTATTCTTTTTAAAACATGTAATCGTAACATCTCTACACATGTCTCTTGTAAGAATAGGTTAGAATGCCAATTGTATCGGAATACCTAATTTTGTTTTTAATGTAACTGAAATTTCTAACACGATGCCCACCTGATGATCAGTGGTAACTCTAACACAAATGCATACATAAACAGCACCTCAAAAATCACACTATTATATGACGCCTGTGACAATGACGCCACTCTTGAATGGTAACACATGTGGATGTTGCATTCATGAGAACAACAATAACCTTAAACACTTTCGAATAGCAAACTGCATTTTTTTTCAAATTCTAAATATCTTTATTCATGTAGGTCTATTACCGACTCTTATGATATGTCAAATCTACCGTCAGTTCGGAATGATTTCGAAGAACTGACAAGAAACTCAGCTCATATTCTTTTCAAATTAATATTATACATGTTTACAATAATACAGAGAAATTTTTAAATTCAAACTTGGGAGAATAGAGTGGTCACCAGCATATGCTATTTCAAAAGCAAATAGTCTAATCAGTGTAATTGCAGCAGATATAGGTGAAACTGTGGTGCCCACGCGGACGACTTTGTAATAAAGTCTATCGATCAATCGGAAAAATGCTTGTAGTAGAAATAAACCAGCAAATCAGAACGAGACTAGCTTTGAGCACTAGATAATAAGTTGAGTAAATCCTAAATGACTAACTTTTAACAAAGCCGTATCGTCTGTAACGGACGCAATTACAGTAGCAATGGATAGTGGACAATGTGAAGCTTCAGTGGCTTCAGGCACAGCGCAATTTACAAAGGTATCCGTCCTAAGGTATCCCTACGTTTCGAGTTTTCAATTTTACTTATCCGTTTAATTGTATTTCAACATTGTGCATTATATAGTTATCTAAGTTTTAAATCATGTTTCTCTTTGATATAGTAAATAATAAGTTGGATAGTATAAAACAAACATTTGGATGAGTTAGTACCACCCTACTTATGAGATTGGTCTGATCTAGTTGCTATGACTTACTTATTTTGTTACTAACAATGTTGTCTGTCTGCATGGGGTAACTGAAATTATTATAAATATACGTATTATCTCTCAGTTCTTGTATTATTAAACATAAGTTATCAGAACGTGCTAAAAATTATCAGAAAACTATTATATTATTATTGTAAAATAATTATTTACAAAAATTACGATAAAGCTCAATAAAGAGTTCGAGCGCAGCCGCAAAACGAAGTTACTCACAAAGAAATAACAAGCGAACAAAAAGAAAAATGTTAAAGCAAAATAAAAATTCCGCAAATAAAGGTAGCGAATAGCGCTTTCAGAGGCATCAAGTCGAGATGGCCGCCTAAATTGTAATGTTTACAAGTTAAATTAGATGAGGGCGGTAGAAGTTGTTCATAATGTAAGAACTCACCTCGTCGCGGCGGCCGCTTGCAGATTACGGACAATTTGTTCTGCAGGATATTCACGGCTTCTTTTGCGACAATGGCCGCTTCTAAATTTGAATTTAGGCGGCAACGCCGGGAACAGACAAAATTAGAAATGTCTTCGTTGCATTTTTAAGCGTGCTGCGTGACTGTCTATTTAGATTTTACTTCACAATTACGTGACATAATAATAACAAAATTTTCGATATATTAACGAATACATCGTTAAAAATAAATAAATGACATAATTGAACTATCTCCATTTGTTTTCAAATTTAGCAGAGCTAGTATTAGATATAGATATTACAATAACTAATACACATAGGTACTATTTTCTTTTAATATATTGAAATGCATCCAGATCAATAGAAACAGCACCTACTCATGAATATAAATATTTGTATTGTGTGAGGATCAAACTAGCAGCAATCGAATAATAAAACAGTGTGCTATATAATTACTACTATGGTCATATTTTATAAGGATCCGTTCTAATAATATACAATTTAAAAAAAAAATATTTATAAGAAACGAATAACCCAATTTTATTTTTATTAAACATTAAAATAATTATTATGTACCTAAAAATACTTTCAATGCGTTTTCATATTAAGAAAAGGAACACAAAAAACACATTCTATTTCGAGATTGGTTGGAAAATAAGCAGCGAATACTTAACATTCTTATATGCAGACTACACCGCAAAGCCTTTCATACAACGTAGGTATAAGTTTCCATTTACGTCCCACTATGCACCTGGGCGTTTCATTTGCATTTTAGTTTAGGAAACTATAAAATTCAACCTACTTCACTACGGCCATCTTGGCGTGTATTGAATAAAATTTTCTTTATTTACGGGCCCATAAACCATCCGAGATAAGGACCTACCCGCGGCCGAGCAACCATATAACAATGGGACACAATTCTTATTTATTTATTAAATATTTTAAAAAGATAAACCTTCACACTGTTGAAGTTCTCTCACAGTGAATACTTTGCAATAAATTAATCTAAAATTAAATAATTGATTTATCTAGCGCGATCAAGTTGTTAAACACTAAAAATAAATGGCTTTTATACATGATAAGCAAACAAACAAAATTTCCTTCTTTTTTTTTTGCGAATTCACTGCGTAATATATACATTGATAAAAAAATACATATATACTGGAAATTAAAATTAGAACTTTGTCATTTTGGAATTCGTTGATAGTAGATTTCGTGTTATTTACATAAGTTTTTTATCATAAATAACCACTACAGATATCTATATAATATATCTGAAAAATATGTAATAACAAACAACATGTAGTAACAAAATATATTCCTTGTATTTCAAGGAATATTAGTAATGTATATATTTTATTATTTATATACCTATATTTCATTATATGTATTGTCCCACAAGTGTTAACTTATATATAAACATTATAATATCTTATCTTATTTATTAAACTTCAACTAATTTCTCAAAACAAGTTGTTTATTGTTCTTGTATGATATCTTTACCATTTTTGTATACATTTTAATATAACGTATTTTTTTTTTCAAATAATTACGTTTTTTATGCGTTGTTCTCATTACGATCATTATCATTTTTTTTATTTCAGTTATTATTATTCTTTGTAAATACTTACCGATATAATATTGGTTAATTTTGTACCCTCGTTGAACTGGACCCTGATTTAAGTTAACATTTCTGTAATTAAATATTTCTGATTCCTGCGACACAAGCCTTGAGCTTAGTGCACGGATTGCTGTTAACTATTTTCTCTATTTTGATGTAAAGTGTATAAGTAAATAAATAAAAATAAATTTTAATCAACAAAATGTACTAGTTTGTTAGTTAAGTTTATTCTACAAAA